TGGAAATCAGCAAATGTTACCAGGGCTATTTTCCCCCCAGAAAACTAGTTGTTAAACATTTCCCAGCATGCCACTGTTCTTCCTCCATACCCTCACAAATGCAGATTAATCTAAAAGTCAAAAGTTTCATTTTAATGACTCCGGTAAATTTTGTTCTCTGCATAGCCCATTGGTAGTCCTAAATTATTGACTTCCTTATTTTACATGGAGTTAATAATTGCCTCATTGTACTGACACCTCCTGAAATTAATGGACAATCCACAAAAAGGGAGACAGCCAGTAATTACATGCTTAACGAAATATTCTTGCCAAACAAATGAATCTGATCTATTTAAGCTTCTTCAGCTGAATACCAGTTTACCAATAATATGAAGAATAGAAAGCAAGTTAGATGACACAAGAAAGCAACCAACTAAATCTAGAACGCAGGATATCCTACAGGACCAATGACTCACTTTTCTTAGTAAATCAGTAACATAAATGGAGTGGGGAAGTGGGTAAGAAACTATTACAGAAAAAACAGACTTAACTCATAACCCCGATTTCCATGTATGGATCCTGTTTGGATCCGAATTCAGATTAAGGAACAATAAAAAAAGTATGCTTAAGAGAGCAGGGACATTTGCCCATAGACCAGGTATTAGATGACATTAGGGATTATTGTCACCTTGTCCTGTCTGATAATGGCATAGAAGTTACCTTTTAAAAAGTGTCCTTACTGGTATTAGATGAATAATAAAGTATTTGCAGAGGAAATAGTACATTTGATTGTTTTTTTTTTCTTTTTAAAAAATCCTGGGAAAATGTAGGAGGACAGATGAAACAAAGTGACAAAACTTTAGTAACTGTTGAAGATGGATGATGGTCTATAAGAGGTCATTAGATATTCCACTCTGAATGTGTAAAATTTTCGTAGTAAAAAATTTTAGTTGCTTCATTTTAAATCTCCTTTGTGCTTTCTTTGTGCTTAGCCTTGTTAGTCTTTTCAAATGTACCAGCAGATTGGTTAAGTATCAATTAATGAATTAATGTTGTTTTTGAAATCCTTAAACATCGTAGACAACCCATCAGTGTCATTTTTCAGGGTTTCCTCCGCAAGTCCCCTTCTTCCTTTTCAGTGGGGACTAGCAGCACATTGGGCTTTCTGCATAGCCGCTGGTGTGCACTTCCCTTCTCCGTGACCCTGGACTGCCCAGGCCTCTTTTCCTGTGTCAGATTCACTCTCTCCCTCTTTGTTGATAGGTTCCCTCATTTTGCTGGAGCATCTGCCCAGTAGCTTCCTAAGAAAAATTAAGCGTGACGTACATTTTTCAGTCCTTGAATGTCTCCTCCCACATTGATTTGGCTTGATACTTTTCCCCTCAGAATTTTGGAGGCTTTTCACCATTGATTTCTAGCCTCTGGTGACGGTGTTATGAAGCTCAATGCTGTTTTGATTTCCATTCTTTCCCCTTTTCTGAAGATTACAGAACTCAGCGTATGCTGTAGGTTGATCTCTTTCTATTTGTTACTGTACTAGACATGCCTGGCGCAATAACAAATACTTGTTATTGTGAAATGTGTGTCTGATAGGTTGGGGAAATTTTTCTGGTTTGTTTTGTTATCTTACATTTTCTCTGGGCTCTGTTTCTATGACTCTTACTCTTAGGATATTAGAACTATTAATCCCAATTTAGGATTTTATTTGGAAAAATGCTGTGTAAAACAGAACAAGTCAGGGAAGGTTGAACGAGCTGCCAGACCAGGATGCTAAGCTGACCCAGGTGAGCAGAGCGAGAGAAGGGAGTCCTTGAGCCAAAGCCAGCTGACAAAGGAGTCCCCTGTGTCAATAAGGGTTGACCTTATTTCTGCTGCACTCGATCACTGGCTGTAATCTAAATGTAGGCACAGACTCAGCTGAAGTGCAGTGATGGCTTGCAAAGCGATGCACCTGGGGCCCTGGTCAATGACCTTCCCTAGAGCCTGAGGCGCCAACGTCATGGCCACTGCTGTCAAGCACGTGCTATTATCATTGTATGTTGACTGGGTCAGTCTATGTGCTACGCCTGAAACAGTGGTAGGCACATCCCGAGCACTCAGAAAGCATTAGGGATTATTACTGAGTGCCAAGGAGAAACCTGCAAGGGTGTGTGATTGGCCAAAGAAACTGTTACAAATTTTATGCTCTGAATTTCAGGATCTATTTGCTTTTACTTTAAGCACCTATTCTAATAAGCTTGGCTAACTTGAGTACAAGCCAAAGCCAGTTAAGAATGGCAGAGTAAAAAGAGATTGGAAACTTATTAGTGTTGTAACAATCAGAAAGCTGGGAAAGGTGTGTTTGACAGCAAGGACAGAGACAGAAAAACAACAAAAACCAAAATATAACAGAAGCTTGTATTTGCAGACTGGTTAACATTCGGAAACATAGCCCCAGTAACTTCAATCGACATACGTGCTTCTTGGTTTTTCAGAAATGTAACAACCAATGTTCACAATAATGACTCTGGGAGCAAGAAAATGTCTCACCAGCACTCTGAGGAAGCAGGAAAGTAAGAAATGTGGTTTAGACAGATTTCCATACAGAATAAACTGCAGAGGAGCTCCACAGAAAGACTGAACCCTCCAGGATTCTGGACAGCTGATAGTTTTATTGATCTAATTAAATATATGGCTTTTCTGTTTTCCTGTGCATAAATGCATAGCACTTCTTCCTGTCACTTGATAATGAGCAACCCTTACCCTTCTCATTTTATGACCCGATTTTATGTTGAGATCCCCACACCTTTCATGGCATCATCTCCGCCTGGGTTCACTTGCTTCCTAAGCAAACATAAAACCTCTCTGATAAATCATGAATAGCAGTAGAATTTCCAAGTCATTTAAAGTAAGCTCCTGCGGGGCTCGGCCACCCCATGACTGTCACCGAGGGGATTCTCTCTCCAGTGGCGCACACACCCCAGGCTGCCTGTCGGGACGCCGTCTGCCCTGCTTCCTCGACAGCCGCTTCACTTACACAGCGCTTCCTGTTTCCACCCAGCCCTCCTCCCTGTGTTCCTGCTCTGGCACGTGAGCCCCTCACATGCACGGTGCTCTCATAAATCCTGGTCAACAACAGAACCGTGGGCCTGGGGTGTGACATCAACACCTTTGGAGAATAAAGAGCTTGACAACAGCTCATTTTCCAACCCTCAGGGGTACCGTCAGAGCCTGAGAAGCCACCGTCTGGAGCCTCAGGCGTCCACTATGAAATCAGGTTGCTCACAGCAGGCACAGTGGGACAGAAGCAGCCACACAAGTGAAACACAGAGAAAGACACACGGAGAGAAAGAGAGCTAAGAGATACGTACAGGGGCAGATACAGACAACATACCAGTGTGCACACAGGATCCTGCCTTAGCCCAGGCTGCTGTAACACAAATACCACAGACTGGGAGGTTTAAACAGAAATGTGTTTCTCACAGTCCTTCAGGCTGGGAAGTCCAAGGTCAAGGCACAAGCAGATTCAGTGTCTGGTGAGAGCCCACTTCCTGGTTCACACATGATGGTCTTCTGTGTTCTCACACAAGGGGCAAGAGAGGTCTCTGGGGCCTCTTTATAAGGGCCCTGATCTCGTTCAGGAAGGCTCTGCCGTCGTGACCCAATCACCTTCCAAAGACCCCCACCTCCAAATGTGTCACACTAGGGGTTTGGATTTCAACATACGAATTTGAAGGGGGACAAAAACATTCAGTCCACAGCAGATAGCGAACATACTTAAGAAAAAAAGTAGGATCCGCCTCATTTCCCCACCGATTTGTAAGCTCCTTGGGGGCGGAGCTCTGTTTGCTTGCATCTACACTTAATAAAATCTGGGAGGAGGAATGAGGAGGAACATACTGTCACGCTAAGCAGGCAGTGTTTAACTCATGTGGATAACAATGAACAAAGTACAAAATTGTCCTAAAAGAAATCCTTCCCTGACATTCCTACAAGGATTAATATAGCTGTTAATTTTGCACAGGTTTAATCCTTTCCAGTTCCTGGCAGTTACCTTCTTTTAAGTTATTTGTTTTGGTTTTGGTTTTGGTTTCGGCTTTAGAAAAGAGCTCAAAAGGTTACGTTAGATTCCATACATCTTAATGGACAGCCAGTGGTTTTAACTGCATTGAATTAATGATCCCTTCTTTCTCTTGTATTATCACGCACAGCCTTCTAAAGTCATCTGCTCCTCCGTGAGTATTCCCCCTCCCATTTTCCTGGATGGCAGCAGCACATTTTGAAATATACAGATCTACAGGTAAAACAACTGGGATACCCAAGGAAAGCAGGCAGAGAGAACCTGAGTCTAGTATTTTGGATTGTTACTTTTTGGTCTTAGTTTTTCTATTCCATATTTTTTCTTATTTTTGTATTTTTTCAAGACAAAATTAAATGTGCTACAATGCCTCAGGAATGAGTAAATTCAAACAACAGTTGAGTAACAAGCCTCAGAAATGAAAATTTATCTGAATTTAAAATTAAATTGTTTTATTTTTCCACAAACTAAATTGGTCAGATATGAAAAAAAAAGATTATGAAGCATTCTAACTTTTGATTTGAGTACGAACAATGTGTTGGCTAATTTGTATTGATTTTATCTGCCAATCTAGATGCAATCACACTTTTAAAAGCAGATTCCTGTAATTTGCTTTTCTATAAAATGTCACCAATGCATTAAATACCTTGAAAACAGTCTCTGTAAATCAGTCTGCACTTATTAGATTTGTTTAAACGATAGCATTAGAATTCCATGCCGAGAGTTAATTTGATTTTAAAATAACTCCCTACATGCAGAACATTTCCAAGGGCGGAGAGGCTAGTTCCCAATTATTTTCATGCCAGCAGTGCTAAATGTGTTTAATGACTCACTTACCTACCACCTGTGGGTTCTCTGAACACCACCCGATTCAGTGGAACACACACATTTTACCTCAGGCTATTTTATATTGAAAAAAGGGGGAAATGTAGAACCATAGCCAAATGATAAGTTAAAGTTCTTACCTTGTTTCTGTCAAAGGTTATTATAGACTTGATCAACTTGTTGACTGGCCTTTTGATTCAGATCTTGCAGACCCAAGAGTGTCTTAAATTCATGCAGTGTTTGCAGACCAGGTGGCTATTCCATCATAAATCCTCCATACCACACATAGGTCTCTTATGCAGGAATTGCTGTCTGACCACTGCTAGAGATTCGCTATTCCCCATCATGATTCATGGTCTACAGCTTTTTCTCAGTCTGTTTTCACGTTAGGTCTCTCTGGACTTAATCCCTCACTCTTCACTAAAACTTGAAGTCAAGAGATACCCTTAGAAAGCTACTCTAAACTTCATACAGCTCTAGGCTAAATGAGTGTAGAAAGCCAATGAGACTGACTCATCTGTATAATGTTGAGACCAAGGTCACTTACCAACTGATGAGACTGTGCTTACTGCCATTCAGAGATAGCTTTCTGTGAAGGGCAGAGACTATTTTAGAGAGAGTAATCCTTGTCATATTGTTAATCATCAATTAAGCCTACGTTATTGAGTGGTACGGTAGGGTCTAACGGAAGGAACTTGGATTTGCAATCAGGAAGCCTGGGTTCTAGGCTTTGCTCACCGCTTATTAACTACATGGTAGTTCTTAAGTCTCAGTTGCCCCATCTGTAAAATAGTATCAAGAGAATTTGCCTTCTCACACCTGAATATTGTGAAGATAAACTTAGATGAAGAGCATGTTTTTAAGCCATGGAAAAATTAGACATTCTGAGTACTGTTAAATTAAAAGGAAGTCTATGTATAGAAGAGGGAAATGAGTACCAGGTAGTTAGCAGTAAGAAGTTTTAGATGTAGTAGGCAGTAGAGTGTGGTCTGCAGATAAAGGGACATACCGGGCTGTGTCTTCCGGCACTGAACTTGTCTCTGCACCTCCCTTTTCTGTTGTCTTTTGTCTCTCAAGTCTGCATCTCCCTATGCCCTCTGCCTGCCACTTTTATCCCACTCCAGTTCCTGAGCTTATCTTGTCCCAGCCAAGCCCCAACTGCCAATGCACTTGAGAGCTGAGCCAATGGGCCTAAGAACTGTATCCATGCCCAGTAACGGAAATGAACTGCCCCATGTGGTTCCCAAGCCATTTTGCTACCAACCGTACTTAAGAATAAGAGAATTACATCATTTCCATCTGCAGCATCTCATCCAAAGTATGGCTCTCCTAACCTTACTCCATTTTTTCCCCCCAGCTCCTATGTTGACTCAGTTCAATAGTCTAGTCACTGCTTTGGTCCCCATTCCTTAGTCCTGATTACTTGTTTAAAACCCCAGGTCCCCCAAGAACTGGAGCCACTGGGGCCTAAATGAACTGCCTTGACAGGAAGTGAGGAGGTTACAGTTAATTTTCGTTCAAACATACCTACGTAGACTTTCAATAGAAAATTTCAATTTCAAAATTAGAGTTAAATAACAGGTATTCAGTAAGGTCAGAGAAATGTGGAACTTACTCATTTGGAGGTGTTACCTGAAACATTAGGATGGATGAGATTCCTTATGCAGAGTAGAAAGAAAGAAGATGAGATAATGAGGACTCAGCCCTGGGGATTATTCAGTTAGGAATATGAGGAATATTCTGTTAAAATCTTCAAAAGCCATTCTCTGGGGAAGTCCCCCCTCGGACTCTTCCTAAATGTCTGCCAGAAAAATGCTCAGAGGCATTGACTTCTTATCGCCATTAACATTGACTAATCACCAAGTTTTAGATTAAAGGAAGGATGGATACTGATGGCAGAGTTAGGTAATGAAAGTTTTCAGGGGTCAAAAAAATCCCTTGTGGGGAGAAAATTTTGGATAGATCAAGAATGCAAGGACCTGAGATCCAAAAACTGTGTTTGGTTGTATAAATAATGCTCTAAAAATCTGTACAATGATTACTTGAACTAAAAGAGAATTCTTATATTGGGTACAATATTTATATCCAAAAATCACAAGTCTTGCTAATAAAACATTAACCAGTCATAAGATAATGGGAAAAAAGACTCACTTATAATAAGGCAAAGAATAAATCTAATTAATTATAATAAATGTAACTACAATGTGCTAGATGTATTTGAAGAAACATTTTGAATACTAATATAGGTCACTAATGAAGACCTGAACATATAGAAAGGCATATTTTGGTCTTGGATAGAAAGATTTGATATATATTTTTTAAAAAGGCACGTCTCCCTATATTAACCTATAACATTACCAGACACCCAACAAAATACAAATACAATTCGAGGGGTGGGTGGTAACTTAAAACCTAATTCTAAGTTTGAATGAGATTTACACATGCAAGGATACAGAGGAAAATGCTGAAAAATAAAATTATTAACTAGCGCTACCAGAAGAACATGGGTCTGACATGAGAAAAGATGAAACAATTAATGGAAAAAATAGAGTTGTTTTTTTTTTAAGAACTCAGCCCAAATATAAATGAGAATTTAAAATGCAATAAGATGGCACAGCAGATCAGTGGGGAAAAGACTGATTATTCTATTAATAATTCTGGAACAATATTAGGGTTATTTGGAAACATACACACAACTAGATTTCTAACTTATTCCTTATATCAAACTAAATTCTAGATGAATCAAAGATTTAACAACATAATTATTAAAATTATTCTAAGAAAACAAAGTAAAATTTATTTATAATTTTAGCACTGAAAAGTACTCTCTAATTATGACTAAGAACCCAGAAACCATAAGAACCCAGAAACCATAAACAAAAGGAAATTAAACCAAAAGTTTTTAAAAATCCCATATGGCTCACCATGAAAATAAAAGAAAATGAAAATTTATGAGAAAATATTTGTGAGACACATCATATAAAAAAGATAATTTCTGTAATATGAAAATAGTTCCTGTAAGTCAGTAGGAACATTACCACCAAACTGAAAAATTTTTAAATTCAAATGAATTTTAAACATGAAAAGATGCTCAGCCTTACTCATAAGAAATGTACATTAAAGCTACACGTATTTAACACCTTCCACCTATCTGATCAGCAACGTAAGAAAGTTGGATAATTCATGGGGTAGGTGAAGGAATAAAGAAACAGGCATTTACACATTGCTGGGGAAGTGTATATTAATACAATTTTTATGAAGTCTATTAGGCAATATCTATGAATAATAAAATGTACTTACTCTTTGACCCAGCCATTCAGCTTCTGAGATTTATTTAACAAGGATAATTGCACATTGTGAAATGAACATATTTACAAGAATGTTCACTGTTGTGCACATGTGGATCCAAACGATGAGAGAAATGTAAATGTACATCACAAGAGAACAGTTAAATACGTTTTGGTATCTCCATAGACTGAAATAATAAAGAGCAGTTTAAAGATAATGGGACAGCCTTATATGCACTGATCCTGATGTGAAATGATCTTGAAGGCATATTAAGTGGAAAAACAACAGCATCTTTTGGCTACTTTTATATCCATATGTATATCCATGTAATGATTTATAAGAGTTTAGATACATTGACTGATTTTGGATAAATTCACCAGTAACTGGTCAAAGTATGCCTCTTGAGAAGAGTAATTAAGTAGCTAAAACCAAGAATGGGGTGAAGACTTAGCACCATGTTCCATTTCACATGTTCTGAATTTTGTACTATGTGCGTGTACATAAAATTAGAATTACATAATTCTACAAAATTAAATGTTTTATTGCTTTCGTCCAAAGCTGCAGACATTTCCAAATAAAACAGTTATCAAGGAAAATGAAAAACACAGTTCTCACGTTATGCTGAGAAGATTTACTCTTTTACTATAACTCAATAATAAAATTATCATATAAACCATATTTGAAAGTTTTGGGGGGATTTATATTATGTGGTTTACTGAGTATCGGCTGCAAAAGAGAAAGAGAATAATGTCTTTCTTTTACAACTCAAGTTCCAAGAGGAGGTGATTCTTTGTATATAGTTTGTATATAGTTTTTAAAAATCACTGTTTTCCAGATTTATACAGTCCTTTTAATGAAAACAAAATTTAGGCCTAAACGACATTTCCATCTTTCTTAGTAGCTCACATGGGAATTTGAGAACTCTGGAAATGGTTTCTCAAAGAAAAGGAAGAGTCAGGGAACAGCACTGGGAAATATAAAAACCAAATCAGTCTTTATTTCTAAATACAACTTTCTTAGTGTTAAACAAGATGAACTTTACAATAACAAGTACAGAGAAGATTTTTTTTTAAAGAATCTTCCTTTTTTTTTCTTATTAGCATTTAAAAAAATGAGATGTCTTCTCTGACTTTAAAGTGTGAGAAGTACTTTCCTTTTTTTCTGAAGGAAGATTGTGTCCTGAATCTGTAGTCCCTTTATTTAAAAGCATTATGAAAAAGGAGATTATCTTCTTTAAGCAAAGCTTCTAAATAACTGTCAATCTGCTCCAGGTCTCCTGCTGGACCACCCTGGAAAAGAGAAGCAACAACCATAGCAGGCCAAGAAGCCACAGGGTTTATTCTTGTAATCTGGGTGGCCTTGGGCCAGTCTTCCCTATGATTCATGCAGCAACAGAACCCAGTTTGCATTTGAATAATGCTTTTAGCCTTTCGAAATGTTTTTGCATTTAATCTTGTTTTATGCTCACAAGTAGCTAGAAACCTGGATTTTTTTTTCTTTTTTCTTTAGTGGAGGCTAGTTCGACTGTTTTTTACCCCCTTCTATTTAATTACTTGTTATATTCCTAAAGCCCTCATCCTTCTCTGTTGTAGGCTCTCATCTTCCAGCTTAAAAATTCGTGAATCTTTAGCCTTAGAGGCAAAACAGATGAATAGGCAAATTCTGACTTCTCTGTTTCTCTTTATTCCACAGCATCTTCCCTACAATTCGGGTGCGCTGCCCTGATCTGGGTAATCACATGCTCTCCTTTCCTGGGCTTCTTGATCCATGAACACTGGAGAACCTCTTTATTGACCTAAATCTCAGGCCCACCATGGCATTGACTCACTCTCCAACTGAGCTGATGGCTAAGAGAAGTTTTAGGAAGGACCTTTCAGAAATAATCCCAATTTTATTACTGTTCTAAATAAGTGTCTGGCATGATCACAGTTTCTCCATCCCTTATCTGGTTCCATTAAATGTGTTTCTGCTTTGCTCCCTCTGCCCTAGATTTGTTCAGCCCTCTAACAAGGCTGAATTGTACTGAGCCTCAACTTTGTGCCTAGGGCCCTGTTTCTGCAGATGGCCTCCATGGTATTGATATTCGCCAGGATTTCCAAATATTCACTGACTCTGAGGAATGCCCTGTGTGACCCATTCTGACACTGACTGCTTTCAATCTGTTCAGTCTGGTCTAATCCTT